AAATTGAATTCCAACTCCAACAAACAAACGCGGTCCGATTTCGTTCCGTGATTGGTCGCGATTTCGTTTCGAAGCTTCGCCAACCAAAACACCTGAAATGTACACCCCTTCGAACCCCCTTCAAAAACCCAGGTTTTTGTGATGTAGTAGCAGTAGTAACAGCGCGGGCACGGCAGTGCGGCTCAGTAGAGGCGGGCTGCATAACTCGGCAGCACGACGCGGCTCGGCGGGGTGGCTCGGCACGGCAGCTGAGCAGCGCGGCTCAGCTGGGCGGCGCGGCTCGGCTGGCAGGCAGGCAGGCCGGCGCAGCAGTGCCTTGGCTCTAGCTCAGTTTCTTGGCGTTCTACACGCTCGTCTTCAGTTCTCAGCTCCAGTTGTGAGGCTGAGATCTACGCCACAACCATGGCTGCACATGAGTTACGCTGGCTTACCTACCTGCTGACCAACTTGGGAGAGCGGCCTCGTTCCCCTCCAGTGCTGTACGTCGACAACAAGGCTACCATTGCCTTGTGTGAGGAGCACAGACTGGAGCACTGAACACAGAATGAAACACCAACACCTGCTCCTTCCCAGCACTCTCCATGCACCGGCAGTGTTCCAATACACACAACCTGAGAAATACGTTAGAAGCGTACACTTGGCGTGGTGGATGTGGTTCTTGAGGTCACCATTGCCCACATACTCGTACACCAACACCTGTTCTTGCCGCCCGCTCTCCACCTGCATGTCCACGCAGAACCCCAGCAATTGCACCAGGTTCTCATGCGTCAAAGGTTGCCATTGCTCGCACTTGTGTATGGACAGCAGGGGAGAGCATAGATAGGGAGCAGGAGGGAGACCATGGATAAGCATGTTCTTTTCTTTGTGTTGTTTTCCCCCTTCCGGTACCATTGTGCTCTCCACCTGCATGTCCACACAGAACCAAGCAGCCACACCAGGTTCTCATGCCGTAGCGTTGCCATAGTGTGCTCCTGTGTATGGATAGAAGGGGACCAGAAGAGCACACAAGGCTAACTATCTGAATGCAATTCCTGCTCATAGGAGGAGCACACGGCTGCACCCCTGCTTTCCCTTCTCATGTTTTCAGTTCACTTGTCTGACCTGTTTGTGCTACCTCCCCACACACCTCCTCTAAATGCTTGTCATCAAGCAACATTACTTCACGGCCCACTTTTCCCTGTGGAGGACACAAGCTCACATAATTACAATCTCTTCATATTCGATGTACGCACCTCCTTCTTAGAGTCGTTGGTCATCACGCGGCATCGCTTCACAGCCACATCTCCCCTATGGGGACACCCCAGATACACCGTTGCAAAGCCCCCTCTAACATGCCTCTCCTTCCTCCCTATCCAACCATAGTCGCACCTCCTTCTCAAAGTCATTCGTCATCACGTGGCATCGCTTCACAGCCCATATCTCCCCTTGCGGCGACACCCCCAGCTACACCGTTGCAAAGCCGCCCCTCTTTAACCAGTTAACCTCAGCCCGATTATCAGTGGCTTGCACTAGCTGCTGCAAGGAGAACTCATGAAACACGTCTAAGTCGCCCCACTTGCCTGGTGGAACATGGGTGAAATTGCGGTGGTGGGTGGGGAATAGAGTTTGTTTATTATTATTGCTGAGAGTTACTTCACAGTACAATTAAAACCAGAAAACTGAATTATAAAAACCGATCATTGCTTGGTTTGGTAGGTCAGGGGTTCAGGCAATATGAGGTGCGGAAGAATTGCAAAAGGTTGCAGGTTAGCGAAAAATGATGCGACTCTCCCGTGAGTCGACGAGATGATATCGGACGTCGCATCCCAGTAGTTTGTAGTCAAGAGACGGAGTAGAGCAGAAAATAACATCGCCGACAGAATCAGCTAAAAACTCAGACACTATAGAATCCAAGCATTGCTCACACCAGCTAAGCATATCAAGTGAACACAATTTATGGACTATCGTATGGTAGGTGCGGCGCGCATACTCAATCGAAGGGAAATGCAGGTGCTGACTGCGAGTGTGAAGCACGGAGAAAATGATAGAGCGAGGAGAAATTAGTGCTCACGTTTACCAGTTGGACACCTGGTAACCACCCTAGTTCGGGAGGGAAAGTGTTAACACCTCAAAACACTTTTTGTAACTCAGGCTCCGGGTTTTAATCACGAGCAGGCAAGCAAAGAGTGTGGTGGAATCACTCTTGAGACAATTCTCGCAGGTTTTGTGAGAGGCATTTGAGAGTGATTCGCGTTTAGCATTGGGGAGGAGTAACAACACAAGGGTAGCAGTGAGAGAGAAAACCCGAAAAAGCAGCCCAGTGGAATGCCAACCACTGTTGCTGGTGATAGGCCTGTGGTGGACGGGAAAACAGGAGAAGAGGAAGAGGGCAGCGCGAAAAGAGGGGAGGAGGAGAGGAGAATTGCTTCTGAGGCGTCTCAAGCGAAGCGACCCAAGAGATGTCTGCGACTGCTGCTGGTGATTGGCCTGGTGAGGGGAAATTAGGAAGAGGTAGGAAGAGGGGGGGGAGAGGAGAGGGGGGGAGGAAGGGGAGGAGAGGAAAGGAGGATGCTCGCGTTTTAACAGTTTTACGAATCATTCCGTCGGGTTCTCGATGATCCCTTGCTCCAGCTTGTCCAGGATCTCCCTCTGCACCATACAGTAGAGGGTTTCCGCTTCTCCCACAAGGTAACCACCATCTTCCGGAAGAAAACTGAGGTTCAAATCCATCACGTTCCCAGAAATATTACGCTGTCTCTAGCTGCATGACGTTATTCTTCAGGGTCGGTGTTGAAGTGTGGGGGACGGGATTGCCCCCCACGCGAAGACCTCCCTTGACTCGGACCAAGGGAGGGTTTGTTCTTGGAAGGTTGGGGTGACGGCGAATTGTCCGCGTTGCCACGCAACCGAACTCCCCTGGTTGGGTCCGAAATGTTGTGAGGGCGACACTTGGCAGTCCCACAAGCACAAACAAAATTAGCGATAGTCTGGGCGAATGTTTTTAAACATCTCGCTACAGTCGCTACAATTTTGTGTAACACATGATTTCGGCATGAAGAAACAAACTCGGCAAAGTTTGAAATTGTGAACGCTGACGTCACGGAAATTGGACGCAATCCTAAGTCCGAGATTTCTAGCGAGTCGCGCACGGTTTGATGTTATAATTGTGCTTGCATGTTTTAGCTATAAAACTAGGAGCTATTCCAGAAAGTTCATCTTCAATCGTAGATTGTACCCAGCCATATATATAAACAAGTATTGCTCTCTCATCTCTTGGGCGATTTCTGTGATCTCAATGCTACGACATCTTTACTCCGAGCTCGTCAGATTGATCATATTCTCAGCTCCTAACTCGCCAAGTTCATTCCGTGGCGTCATTAGGAGTGAGACGGTTTCTTTCAGTCGGCCGCATCCCCGGTATCCCGGTGTACCGGTCCGCTACCTCCACCTTCGGCTACGATGCGGAATTCCAACGCGGTGTGATGTGGGCCTCCTTCTTCCTCTCGTATTCCCATCGCAGTCCGGGCTGCCACAATTCATGGTTCCCACGTGGGCGTCGCTCCTCGAGTCCTCTTCGACTCCTCTGCCGAGGCGACGACGACACGTTGCTCGCATTCGTGGCATAGTTAGTGGCGATTCGCGAACTTCTCTCGCCTTCCAGCGTTCCTGCGCTTCCTGGGCCCATGGTGCATCCAGTTGCGCCGTCCCTTGGTCTGACCCAACCGGTGGTTCCCTCCAACTTCTCGCCTCGGATCCTTTTGTCCGCGTTGATGCGGCGCCCGATACGTCGGCGATTCGCTATGACGTGATGTACGCTCGCTCTTATCTTTTGACTTGATGCTACTAGCATGCGCACGCCATCCTGGCGTTGCTTGCATCGTCTCCATGGTCCTACGCTGGTAACTAAAACCGGATCTCAATTGTACGCTATCATTCATTCCTTGCTTGTTTGTAATGAGTGACAGCTGCTCCTCACTATAGGAGGGCTATGCTTGGCTGACTGTCTGCTTGGAGTGGCTTCTGGTAGCTAGGTCTCAGGAATCCTTTAGCTAATAATGAGAAAACAAACAAGCAAGCAAACGGTTCTATACCCCCACCTTTTCTAAGTAGAGAAACGCTTACCGTTGCACGTGCATCTGTTGCACTTTGGACGCCTTCCCGCTTGGTCGATTCGTCCGAGGCTCGGCACTTTTCCGTTGATTGTTTTGCTATTTGCTACTGATGGTTCTTCTACACTACAAATTCTGTCAGCGCATTTAGGCTATCTATAAGCTAACCTATTACGCTATTGGCTTTATTAAGACCCGGGGTAACCTATTTTACACTTATCTATCGATATTTAGGGTTGTACAACTCAGCTTCGGCATTTCACTTACTTATCTTATATCTATCGCGCAACGCTATTCGCGCTGCGTCCCTCATACACCTTATCTATCTTTTTATCTGTTACTCTTCATTTTTTTCTGATCTTGTTATATTCGTATCGTATTCGCGCAAATTTCGCGCGGTGCGGCGCCTCAGAACCAGGGCCTAGATATCAGACTTTTTAGTCTGATTCAGAGTTCGTTCGGACTTTTTTTTTTGTACTAGTTTGAAGTCTAAGAAGTTTTTTTATGTACCTTGTCTGATTTTCAGAGGTTTTTTGTTGAGTTGTCTGAAATTTCAGCCTAATTTTATAAGTGTAGGCTGAGCCTCAGACTTGTATCGGGGGTGCACTCTGAAACCGGTAATACAGGGGTTTCCGCCAGCCTGGCGGCGTGTAGCACTAACACCGTCAATCATGGGCGGGACGGGAAGCCAAATTTTCCCGAGCGCGCACCACACAGTTGCGTTGGTATGCTATAATTAGCTTCAATGCTGTTATAACTATGCTTTTACGAAACTGCATGATCTTAAAATTTGAAGGTAACTCTGACAGTTCATAGCGTCGCTGGGAAACCCACTCCCAAAGCTGTGGCGGCAAGAGGGTCTCCTGCTGACTCTGCTGTCGCTGCTGTCCACCCCCATAACCTCCGCCTCAACTAGCTGCCCACCTGTACGAGCAGACGCACAGGCACATACGCTTGCTTCCTCAACCAGCTGCTGCACCTCCCCTTCCAATGGACAGCGCTGCTGTAGTGCCCGGGTGGCAGAAGAAAGGGAGGAGAAGCGTCTAACTACAGCGTCGTACAAAGTCTGGGCCGACTTCACCTTACGAAGGTGGTCCCTCTTGTCGACTGGCATGTGAGTTGCGATGACAAGCTGTGCGACATCATCACGCTCCGTCCACAATGTGTAAGCAAGGATGTCCGCCCGGTACCCCCACTGCACGTCCTCGCCAGCATCAGCAGTAGGCTCGGTGGTGGAGTTGTGGGGGGCTGAAGGGACCCCAACGTGTGCTCGAGCAGGGAGACGCTATTTATAGTGAAAAGCTGGAGATACCTGTGCATGAGGAAATTAGAACGAGAATGATTCACTAAGGAATGAAAGTGATACAAATGTGGAACCCTATGAATGTGTACCCATATAGGCTACCCCACTATAGCTTACACAACATTATAATTTGACACACCCCCATAGGCAAAGTGGGGGAGAACAAGGGGTCACAAGACAGTCAAGCAAAGCAAAGCAAAGCTCAGGGTGGATCACAACGTCACCACACAGTCCCGAGCACAAGGTCAAGGCCACAAGGCCAATTCACATGCAGGAGTACACATATATATATAAGGCTAAACAAGCAAGAGCAGGTATATATATATATGTAAGAGTACAGGCAAGGTCAAGGGGTAAGCAAGTGAGGCAAGACAGGGACAAGACCCAGCTAAGTGCAGAAGCGCTGATGATCACAAGGCGGAAGTGCCTTGGTGAAAACATCAGCAGTGTTGGCTCAGAGGCCACGTACGCAAGCTGCAACTGACCACGCTGCTGTAGCTCACAAACAAGGAAGTAGCGAAGAGAAATGTGCTTTGTTCTGTGCTCCAGTCTTTGCTCTCGACACAAGGCCAGCATGGCCTTGTTGTCTACATACAGGACTGGAGGAGAACGAGGCGGTTCTCCAAGGTCGGTCAGCAGGTAGGTGAGCCAGCGAAGCTCCTGTGCAGCCATGGCTCCGGCGTAGATCTCAGCCTCACAACTGGAGCCGAGAACAGAAGACGAGCGAGTAGCCGGCCACGAAATAGAGCCGGAACCAAGGCTGAAGGTGTAACCCTGTGACGACCGCTGCGTAGCCTGGTCGTCAGCCCAAGAAGCGTCCGCGTGCCCAGTGAGGACCACTGGACTCCGCCCTCCAAGCACTAGCCCCATGCCCGATGTACTGCAAAAGTAGCACAACACCCTCTTTGCTGCAGCCATGTGCTCTGGTCTATGTCTCCCAGTAGCAACATAGCGTGCAAGAATGCTAAGAGGGTATGCAAGGTCAGGTCGTGTGCAGGTCATCAGGTACATGAGGCAGCCAACAAGCTCTGGGTACGGGCCACTCGACTCTACGGACTCATCCGAAGGTAGAGCTGAGAGCGAGTGGCGAGTAGACAGAGGAGTGGCCTGAGGCAAGGAGTACGTGAAGCCAAAGCGCTGAAGGACCTGCTGCACCATGTGTGACTAAGTCAGGGTAATGGTGCGGCGTGCTCTGTCCCGGGTGATCTGCAGGCCAAGGTAGGTGCGCAGTTCACCCAGGTTGCGCACGTTGTGTCTCTTCTGCAGCTCGGACTTCACGTGGGCGAGTCCAGCAGTGTCAGCAGTGGCAAAGACCAAGTCGTCGACGTACACGAGGATGTAGAACGGCGGCAAAGAGGTGTCGGTGCGTAGAAACAGCGACGGGTCGGCAGTAGAGGGAGCAAACCCAAGAGCCGCAAGTGTAGTCCTCAATGTGTCGTGCCACTCACGCGGTGCCTGGCGGAGACCGTAGACTGGCCGTCGGAGGCTCCACTGAGTGCAAGGAGGAAAAGTCCCAGTGAAGCCAGGTGGACGGCGCAGCCAGATCTCCTCGTGCAGGCTACCCTCAAGAAAGCAGCACTGAAGTCAAGGGAGTGAAGCTCGTAGTCGCGCTGACCGGCTATGTGCAGCAGTACCCGAAGAGTGTGGTCATCTTCGGGGTGGGAGAGAAGGTCTGAAAGTAGTCAACTCCCTGCCGCTGACTGAAGCCACGAGCCACGTACCGCGCCTTGAAGACAGGTGGAAAACATGGCGGCCGCTTCACCCTGAAGATCCACATGCCACTGACGATGTTCGCCCCAGGTGGGGGAACCGCGTCAACGTAGGTGCCTATGGACTTCCAGGAAGCCATCTTTGCATCCATAGCTGCCTGCCACTGAGAGGAGTAGGGACCCTCTACGGCCTCCACGTAAGAGCGCGGAGTCGGGATGTCAAGTGCATCCGGGTCTCCCTCAGGGGTAAGGAGTACGGACGCGAGATGAGGTGAAGCAGCAGCCAGACACTGGAACTCCTCCTGCCTGTCCTCAAGGACGTCCGTGCCAAGAGCACACTCACCCCCGACGGACGGAGGACAGACAGACGCAAACTCAGCAACAAGACTAGCAGCGTAGTCGAGACGACAGCGAGCAGCAAAGTCGACGAGCACAGCAACAAGAGCAGACGCAGCAGTGGACTCAAAAGAGGGGTCAGTGACGACAGTAGCAAGAAGACGTGTGACAGTAGGACTGGCAGCACGAAGAGAGTCCGACTCGGGTCGGCAAGCGAAGAAAGAGAGGACTCGGGAGGAGAAGGCAAAGGGGCACGCAGAGGGGCAGTGGACGGACGCAGAGACATCCGGTGCGTGCCAAGGACAGGAGGAGAACGCTGACGCGAACCGCGACCACTAGCGCGAGAAGCACGAACAGGCGATGCAGGACGAGACGCAGGCTTACGACGCTCAGCAAGACCTCCAGTAGGACCAGTGTAGGGAGAGGGAGCAGGCAGTGGGGAGGCCGACGGTAACTATGACTAGGACTGGACAGGCGGTGGACACTCTAAGGGAGGAGGAAGACCAAGAAACCTGCTGAAGGAGCGGAACGAAGTATAGCCGTGCCCGCGCAGGGACTCCAGACACAGCAGGGACAGCACCAGCACCCTCAGCACCTCCAGCAGCAACAGCGCCAACAGCACCTCCAGCTGCAATACCTCCAGTAGCACCAGCAGCACCCGCAGCAGGACCGCCGCCAGGAGTGACAGTAGTAGCCTCAGCGCCACACCCTCAGCAGCTCCAGCTCCAGTCGGGACGAGCACCTCCGGACCAGCGGCACCAGCACCCACAGCGGACGAAGAAGCTCCAGCTCCAGCAGTACGCCTCCAGCGTCGGGCAAACCACTCGCGCGCCTCCTGTGGAGAGAGTGGCTCCCGGCGAGAAGAACCAGGAGAACCGCCAAGCCCAGCACTGCCAGACGTCACATGAGCAGGCCCAGCGGCCACTGGCTCCGCACCCCAAGGCGTAGCAGCCCCAGACGCAGCAACCCCAGGCGAAGGACAGCCAGGCTCAGCACCTCCAGTCGTAGAACCCCCAGGCTCAGCACCCCCAGTCGCAGCACCCCCAGGCTCAACACCCCCAGTCGTAGCACCCCCAGGCTCAGCACCCTTAGTCGCAGCACCCCCAGGCTCAGCAACCCCAGACTCAGTACCCTCTTGCGCAGCACCCCAGAGTCAGCACCCCCAGGCTCAGCACCCGCAGCAGTACCAGAGTCACCAGCAACCTCGACTGGCTCGACTGCGTCTACCTGGGACACACCTGAAGGGGCAGGACCCTGAGGGGGGAGGGGGTCTACCGGGGGGGGACGTGGTACAAGGAAGTGCGGTGGCGGGGGGAGGGAAGGAGTGCGGTAGGGGAAGAGGCAGTAGTAGGGGACTGACTCGTCGAACGTGACGTCCTAGGAGGATAGAACACGACGAGAGGTGGGGTGGTAGAACTGCCACCCTGGGGCGTCAGGGTGGAAGCAAGGAAGACACAAGGAGCAGCACGAGGGGACAGCTTGTCCGCAGACAAGTCGCGGACAAACGCCCAAGATCCCCAGACATGGAACGCAGACGCATCGCCGACCTTCCCATCCATAGCAAGGCTGGGGAGGACTCGGCATGGAGACCTTGGGTGAAGGTTGATCTGATGCGCCGCGTACCGAACCGCAAACGGCCACAGAAAATGGGGGGCAGCCGCATGTATCATGGACGTACGAGCGACGTCCATGACCATGCCAATGTGGCGCTCAGCAATCCCATTTTGCTGTGGAGAGTCCGGAAGCGTAAAGGTCTGGCGGATGCCTCGCGCACGGCAGTAGGCTCGCAGAAGGCCAAAGGAGAACTCTCCGCCTCGGTCAGAGTGCAGACACAGAACAGGAAAGTCCGAGCCGAAGCTCCTCCTGAGCTGGAGACGAGCTGCGCGGATCCAGTCGATCAGCACCTCAGTGACATCGCCCTTGCTGCGTAGGGGGAAGACTGTGGTGTAACGCGAGTAGTCGTCAACCACCAGCAGAAAGTAGCACTCGTTACCCTGTCCACGGACGCGGGCTGGGCCCCACACGTCCATGTGAAGCGTCTGCAGCGGGGCCTCTCGGGGGAAACTGAGAGGAGTGAGGGGCAGCCCGTAGGCGCCCCTCGACACAGGGGACGCAGGAAGGACCAGGTCCAGGAGGAAGGGGAGGGAGGGACCGGGGAAGACCAGAGACAAGGACACGGGAAGCCATGCCTCGGAGACGAGGCAGGGAGGGGTGACCAAGACGGTGGTGCCACAAGAGACTCTCGTGAGACAGGAGGCGACACGAGCAGGGGGCAGACTCAGGACCAGACCTGGACGCTGCAGCAAACACCTGACCCGACGCAGCTACCTGGCCAGACGCAGGGACAGGAGGAGACTCAATGGTCAGGGTGTAGAGGCTCGACCCCGGCCGACGCGTAAACGTGGCCAGGTGCGGCGTGTGCGAGCGTCCGAGCAGTGGGTCACCCGCTGACTTGCAGGAGTAAACTGGTGAACCCCCGCATCCTGTAGGTCAGCACCACTCACCAAGTTCGTAGAGAACGAGGGGAGGTAAAGACCAGACAAGGTCCCAGAGGGGGCAGCCGGACACGGGAGGACAGTGGAGAAGTGAGAGACGACAGGACCCCCAGAGGGGTTTGCCAGGGAGACTGCAACGGCCGACCAAGCAGAGTGAGGGTGGTGCGGTCTCGAAAGAAGGAGCGAGAAGCCCCTGAGTCAAGTGTGAAGGTGAGAGAGGCCGAAGCCGACGCGGTACCTGAGAGCGCAGACTCACCAGCACTTGAGGACGCAGACGCAGTGGCTCCTAGAGCAGCAGCCTCACTGGCACCTAGAGCAGCGGCCTCACCAGTACCTAGAGTAGCAGTCTCAATGCCCGGATCGGGCGGAAACACCGGTAACAGTCACCCTCATCACTAATAGTCACAGCATACATTGCAGCAAGGATAGCATCAAAGTCAAGATCATAGATGGCTACACCTGCCTTAGACAGCTCTCCCCAGTGGGGGATCTCACTAGCCTCCGGGAAAGCTCACGCCAAGCGTCCGTCAGGCGGCCAAAGCAGCGCTGGGTGGGGTGGGCACCCCCACACTGCTCACCCGCGCGGTCGCCGGAGCGAAGGACATAGGTGCACGGACCAAAACCCCACCACGCTGACGCTGCGCGTACCACTCACGGAGCTGCTGGGGGGGGGAATGTCCGAGAACGCTGCTGCTGCTGCTGCTGACGCTGAACACCACCAGAGCTACTCCGCTGCGAAGCGCCTTCCCGACCACCTCCACCTCCTCCACCACCGCCTCCTCCACCTCCGCCACCACCGCCGCCTCCGCTACCACCGCTACGGCCTCCGCCGCCTCCGCCTCCACGGCTACCACCGACACCTCCACCCCCGCCACCACTCCCACCGCCACCCCCACTCCCTCCGCCGCCTCCACCGCCACCTCCTCCACCCCCGCTAGCTCCACCCGCGCCCTTGCCCCCCTTGCCCTTGCCAGAGCGGCGTTTCCCGCTAGGGGCAGACGCCGCACCGACCGACTCAATCCCAACAAGGTCGGCCGCAGCAGCAGAGGCGACAGAGGGCAAGAGGGGGGAAGGGGAACACCCCTCAAAGATGGGGGTGCGAGGGTCACCACGAGAGGCTTCTACAGCGACTATGCTCTTCTCCGCTGCTAGGAGGGCCTTCTCTAGGAGGTCAACAGTAAGAGTGGTGGGACAGACTGAGAGGACGTGGTCCCTGACTACACGAAGAGAGTCAGGGAGGCGGGTGGACTATGTAATAGAGAGTGATGTACATGTGGGGGGGGGTCTTGGCGTAGAACTCAGCAGGAAGTGCAGCGCGGTAGCGAGTGTCACTAGTGCGGAGGTGCGTAATGAGGTCAGCAACTGTGGGAAAGGCAGCAAGGTCAGGGAAGAGGTACGGTAGCATGAGGCGGCTCAGTGCAGCAGTGGCAGGGGAAGAGTAGCGCGCAACTACAGCGTCGTACAAGGTCTGAGCACTCTTGTACTGACTAACGCTGCAGCTGCGCAGTGGTAGGCAGGGGGCGACGCACAGCAAGACGTGCAGCAGCATCGCGCGTGGCCCACTGGGAGCGAACAATGGCGTCAGCGTCAGCAGCAGGGGCAGGAGAGGCGCCAGAGGTGAGGTCAAAGAGGGAGAGACTGTCTGCCCTGTCGCACTGTAGGAAAAGCTGCAGGTCATTTACCCAAACCTCAAAGTCAATGGCCCGACCCTCAGCGTCAAAAGCGAGAACACTGGGGGTAGCCATGACAGTAGTAGACTAGCAGTACCAACTGTAGGACAGTGGCAGTGCAGTGACAGAAGCGCTGCTCTCACCAGACAGGGCGGTTCAGGCAGCTCAACAGCACAGCAACACGGCAACACGGCTGCTCGGACGGCTCAGCAGCAACAGCGGCTCCGCGGCACCAGCGGCTCGGCTCCTCAGGCGGCTCGGGCGGCTCGGGCGACGCGGGCGGGTCGGGCGGCTCGGGCGGCTCGGCTCCTCAGCGGCTCAGGCGGCTCGGGCGACTCGGGCGGGTCGGGTGGCTCGGGCGGCTCGGGCGGTTCGGGCGGCTCGGGCGGCGCGGGCGGCGTGGGCGGCTCGGGCGGGTCGGGCGGCTCGGGCGGCGCGGGCGGTGTAGGGCGGCAGGGCCCCTGGTAGGGCGGTAGGTGGCGGGGGCCGCGGTGAGAGGGGGCGGCGGCCGCAGTGAAGGGCGGCGGGGGCCGCCGTGAAGGGCGGCGGGGCCGCTGAGAAGGGCGTCGGGGCCGCAGTGAGAGAGGCGGCGGGGGCCGCAGAGAAGGGCGGCGGGGCCGCTGAGAAGGGCAGCGGGGGCCGCAGCGAGAGAGGCGGCGGGGCCGCAGCGAAGGGCGCGGGGGCCGCTCAGACGGGCGGCGGGGCCGCAAGCGAAGGGCGGCGGGGCCGCTGAGACGGGCGGCGGGGCCGCAGCGAAGGGCGGCTGGGCCTCAGTGTGAGGCGGCGGGGCCGCAGCGAAGGGCGGCGGGGGCCGCAATGTGAGGCGGCGGGGCCGCAGCGAAGGGCGGCGGGGCGCTGAGAAGGGCGGCGGGGGCCGCAGCGAGAGAGGCGGCGGAGCCGCAGCGAAGGGCGGCGGGGCCGCTGAGACGGGCGGCGGGGGGCCGCAGCGTAGGGCGGCGGGGGCCGCAGCGAAGGGCGGCGGGGCCGCAACGACAGGCGGCGGGGCCGCTAGGGTGAAGGGGGGCCGCTAGGGCGGCTCGACGAAGGGAGAGCTCGGAGCGCGACTCGGGCTGAGCGCGCTTCGGGCAGAAAAAAAAAAAAAAAAAACTCGATGTGGTGGCCCTAGGCACAGTTCCCACGGGAACCTGCTCGATACCATGAGGAAATTAGAACGAGAATGATTCACTAAGGAATGAAAGTGATACAAATGTGGAACCCTAGGAATGTGTACCCCATATAGGCTACCCCACTATAGCCTACACAACATTATAATTTGACAGTGCAGGCACATAACCCAAAACCCTAACTTGAAAGGATGGTCGTTGTGTCAAGCACTAAGACTGGGACAAAGGCCATGACTGGTAGCGGCAGTCAGAGCAGCGCAAGGTCAACAGTGGCAGCTGTATGTGCAGCGGGGGCTGTAGCAATAGCAGAGGCAGGGTGCAGTGGCAGTTGGAGCGGTAGTTGGAGCGGCAGTTGCAAGGCAGCGGGCAGCGGCGGATGCAGGCGCGGCTGCGCGGGCAGCAGCAGGCAGGGCAGGGAGCTCACGCAGGCATGTGCAGCGTGCAAGGGTAGCGTATGGTGCATGGGCAGGGCCTGCAACGCAGCAGCGCAGGGCGCAGAGGGCAGCGCGCGAGCAGCTGGGCGCGCAGGGCGGGCGAGCAGGAGGGCAAGGGCACCGACGCACGGGCAACAGAGCACGTGCGACGTGCAGGGCAGCAGGGGCGAGCGGCGCGTGGGGCAGTAGGGCAGCGGAGCGCAACGTGCTGGCTGCAAGGCGTTTGCGACGGGCGGGGCAGCAGGGCAGCAGCGCGCGACGCGTGGGCTGCAGGGCGCACACGACACGCAGGGCAGCAGGGCAGCGGCGCGCGACGCGCGGGGCTGCAGGGTACATGCGACACGCACGATAGCAGGGCAGGGGCGCGCAATGCGCTGCAAGGCGTACGCGATGCGCGGGGGCAGTAGGGTGCGTGCGACGTGCGGGGCAACAGGGCAGAGGCGCGTGTCGCGCGGGGCTGTAGGGCGTATGCGACACGTGGGGCAGCAGGGCCGCGGCACGCAACGCGCGGGCTGCAAGGCGTACGCGACGCACGGGGCAGGACAGTGGCGCGCAGGGCGTGGTGGGCAGTAGGGTGCACGGGGCGTGCAGGGCAGCAGGGAGTGTAGAACAAACCTAACCTAATCGTAGGTTCGGTAGTAGGTTCGGCAGGCGGACCTAACCTAGCGGCATGAGACCATGTTAGACATAGAGTGCAGCGGAATGACGAACTAAGAGCAATAGGGATTACAAGTACCAACCCTAATACGTTGTACCCTCTATGAGCTACCCACTACAACCTAGACAATTAAAAAAATATGTTTTGACATACCGTACCGTACATCAAAATTTTGAGTCGCGATGTTGACAAAATGTGTAGACGCGACTCGGGAAAAAGGGCATTGAGACATTTGTGTCGATACAAGAATGTATCCAAATCGGATCAAATGGTATAGTAGCGTCAGCCCTGTTTGTGGCATGTTCTCGAAATTCCACCACTGAACCCTTTGAGTTATCTTCGCTATTGAATCCGCAAAGGCGAGATCTACGCTTCATGTCCTTAATTCAAAATTTCATAAGTGTTATTTATTCAGCTTATACGGATTTTTCATTTATAAGACCACCCAGCATTTTTCCTAACTGTTTTATAAGCCCACTGGGAGTATATCTGGGTGATGATGGTATTTCTTAGCAAGATTAGGCCTAGGGCCTAACAGCCTGCATGTTACAAACTTACCAACACCCTACCTCTTCTTTTTTCTCTCTGGTCGTCAAAGCAGTGAAGATGCTTTTGAGGAGTACAAACAGCCGTCATATTCGAGAGGCGCGATGCCTGTACAGAAATTATATGCGCCACTTCCTGCCAATAACTTCTAGCGGGCTTCGCGCGAGGTCGATTATGCAGCACTTCAAGCTCAGTCAATGGAGATGCAGTACAGATACTGCCAGCCCGGAATGACGGAGGAACAGACGCTCAATTCTTGTTCAAATCTCTCGCAACTATTACGGTACCGTACTTAGTCGTTTTCGGATCGAGGTCCTGCCGTTACAGCACAGCGTCGCACTAATCGCGAAAGTCCACGCACCGCGAGACACTACTATGGCCGGGTGTGATCAACTGCTGGCACGCGTGCGCGTCGTGTTGCTGCTGTCCTCTGCGAGGCCATCGCGAGAGGCGAGGCGGCGCTGCTCGTCTACAGCGGCGGCTACTTCTACACCCCCGGTAAGCCGCCGTCGCCTCCGCGTGCTCGTTTGCGAAGCCGCGATCATCATGGTGGTCGCCTGCATGCGCGCGCCCCGCAACACGGCCGTCGCCCGCATGCAATTACCGCCTGTTTCTCAGAAACACTTGCGCTGCGCGGTCCGCTCCTCGCCTTCTATATCCTTCCGCCCGCGCGACTCAACCACAGGACGCCGTGCTGGAGCGTGCCTGCCATTCGCCCGCCCGGCAGTCTAAATGCGCCACCCAAAGGTTCTCGCTTTACTCTCACCATGCTTCCATCGCACGGAGTCCTTTGCTAGAGCGCGCGTCGCGCGTTCGTTAGCGCGTGTCCGTTTTAACGTGTCCCGCACGCCTTCTGCAGTTCTTTGTGTGGCGCGTCTAAGCAGTTCCCTGTGCGGCGTTGCTTGCGCAGATTACAAGTACCGCACGCCGTGGTGGGGCGCGCTGCTGCTGCTGTTGGGTGTGTGTCGTGTCGTCATCGCGCTCGTCATGTGCTGCTGCAACTGCCTCGGCGCCTGCTGCGACTGCTGCTGTCGCGGAGCAACACAGTCAAGGTCGTTCACGAGCGCTCGCCGTGTAGCTGCCGCGCCTGTCGCCCCTTGAGCACCCGCGCGCACAGCTGATGGCATTGGTGGTCGGGCATGGGACAGGCGCACATGTCCACGCGGAGGTGTAAATACGATATTCAAGTAAACCAGACTACATTATACCGATGTTGATTGACTACTGGCTGGAATTCGAATAACGAGTCAAACTCAGTACGGGGTTTGCACCTTACAGTGTTTTAAGGGTGCGTCAGATCGCTACAAAGTGATTTGGCTGCAAATTTGTCGCCCTTTTGGTCGACACATATTTTCTCCAAAGTCGACTGAATGATCGAATGCTAAACCGACCACCATCCAGCCACATTTACAAGGTGTTGAAATCTGACAGATTTGGTGGCCGATTGTCAAATATTATAGCCTGTAGTGGGTTGGGCTATATGGGTACAACTAGTTAGGGTTAGGTGATGTACCCCAATTCTGTCAATACAACGCATTCGCTGTAGTTCTCATTCTGACATGTATCAGCAGTAGGTTAGCGCTCCTAGTCCTAGGCCCGCCTTCCCTACCACTAGGGTTGCCACTGAACCCTGCCAGCCCGTCAGCGCCCTACCCCACGCCCAGCCGGCGCGCCCCTCCCCTCCCGCCCTTATTGAAAAAAGAGTAGAGTTTCCCTTGTCTGCTCTCATACCATGTTGTGCTGAGATAGCCCCTTAGGATCTTTGCAAGGATAACTCTAAGTGTAGTTTTAATAGCGGAAGCGTTTAGTGAAGAATTTGGAACCGACCTTGCACTGGTGTGTGAGAGCAAAGTTGATTGAATTAAACAAGCAAATACAAGGATTTATATAAGAGTACAAGGAATAGATAGATAACTGTATTGCTGTTGCGGTTCGATATAGCGCGACTCGGGCAACTGCTCTGTAACGAGTCAGTTGTGTGTCCTTAACTGTTCGCGCTGTAATTGTCGAGTCAAAGGTCAGCGACCTTTGACTTTCTCGTAACTCCAGGCGGTTACCTTAACCCCGAGGTTGACTCGATGCTTCGATTGGGACTGCTTCGCTTGGTACCTTGGATTTGATACGACAGAAGCGCACTTAGGACTTATTGTTTCCAACACTCCCCTTCGCTTCTGGAGTGTTACTGCTGGTGACGGGCCTTGTCCAGTCAGCATCATGCAGTATTCGAACTTCTGCTTGCCGAGTTTCTTGGTCAAGTAATCGGCTGCCATCTCGGATGTTGGACAGTATGACAGATCGAGTTTCCCTTTTTCT